CTACCCTTTCAAGATGACGCCACTCGGAGCGCAGAGTACCGGTTCCTTCTATTCCTGCCACTACAGAGAGCTCCGAAGCCACAGGAAAGTTGTAACCTCTCTAGTCACAGGTAAATGGTGCAGCCCAGGCTGACATTGGAGGCCAAAGGGAAAGAAGAGCCCTACACCCTAGAAGGGACACTGCAGTGACTCCGATTCGAGCAGAGTTTGCTGCGGCCACAGCACAGAGTAGCAACCACAATGCCATCAGGGTGAGCCAAGGGAGCTGAAGCGCCGGACTCCTTTAAACTTAATGTAGGGCTGCTTCCGTTTTGGAGATCAAAGGGTCCTCCTAGATTTCGTTTTTTCTCGGTGTCTCTCCATTTTTCCCCACTCTGCTGTAATAAAAACACTTCTCATCTCTCCCTGGTGCAGTCCTCACCGCTGCACAAAGCTACTGCGAAGTTTTGTCTCCTGGGTCCAGCCTCTACCGACTTCCTGGCCCTCCTCCTGGCAATTCCCTGTTGGACCCACCCCCAGCCCAGCTCCCAGCCTCCTGCCCCAGGCACTCACCCCAAAACAGTGCAGCTGAGCCCCTCAGCTCCACTGCACCAAGTGGCAGGGCCCCTCTCTTGCCACTGGCCCCTAGAGGGCCTCGCCCCTTGCCCTCTTGTGGGGATGCGGAGAAATCAATCGGAATCGAGGCTTTTTAAAAAGTACTTCCCCTTGACGACCAGTCTGGGCGACCTGGTGAAATCCTGTCTGTACAAAAAATACAAAAATTAGCCAGGCGTGGTGGCGCGCCTGTTGTACCAGCCATCTGGGGGCTGAAGCCAGAAGATCGCTTGGCCCCAGGAGGTCGAGGCTGGTCCAGGCTGCAGTGAGCTGCCTTTGCAGCACTGCACTCCAGCCTGGGTGACCAAGTGACACTCCGTCTCCAAAACAAAACAAAACCCCCATGGAAAAACAGTTCGTGATTTCTATTTTCAGGATTCTTCAAAGGACTGAAAGCAAAAGGTGAGGATGGATTCCTTCTACAAGTCCTAGTCGTGGGCCCTGGTGAGTGCACACCCTGCTCCTCGTGAGAAGACCCACCAGCGACCCTCACCCCCATCCCTGCCCTGGTGGAGCCCGCGAGCTGGGCGCAGAATCCGAAGACAGCAGCAGAAGCTCCGTAGTGGCCCAGAAAGCCACTGAGCAGGGCGGGCACAGGCTCCCTGTGCTTAAAAAATTTTTTGTAGAGCAAAAAATGGGAAGAGCTAACCCTGGAGCCCAGGTGGCATTCACCTTCTCTTGGGCCCCCAGGCGGCTCGGGGCAGTCGGGGTCGGGGGCGTTTCCGGGGGCTTCTGAAGCAGGCCAGGGGCAGGATGGGGTATGGTCATTCCGCTGTCCGCTGACTCCAGAATCTCCCAGCGCGGGTGTGCGATGTGACCGTAGCGAATCACAGTGTCTAATCTCCCCGGTTGTCCAAGGCTTAGCTCAGACGCCAGCGCTGGGGGGAGGGGAGGGCTGAAGATGGAAGGGATGAGGGTAGTTTGGTGAGTGTGCCCTCCCTAAAGCGTCCTGTACAACCTGTAGTCACGGTCTCTGTGGCGCAATGGGTTCGCGTGTTTGGCTGTTAACTGAAACTGAAAGGTTAGTGGTTCGAGCCCACCCAGAGATGCCTCGTGTTGTGTTTTAACCCGTTTTAATCAACCAGGTTAACCCGTTTCTGATGATATACAATCAACCGGGTTACTCATGGGACATTAATCCCGAGACACACATGTCCTCTTCCACAACTTCTTATGTCTGAGGCGGTGAGAAGGACCAACCGCCCCTTATACCTGTCACACTCAGGAATCCCAGAGACCTTAGACAGTAATTCATTTCTGGTGTGATAAAACTCTTTGCTGCCATGGAAGGCTTGGGCGAATAAGGTGCCTCAAGTTTTTCATTTATAATAATAGGAGACCTATTACAGCAGCATCCTATCCCCAGGATGTTCCTGGGTTTACCGATTGCTCTATCAATAACGTGACCAGTGGAATCAGTCATCATGCTGATCCTCGCCATGGTTTGTGAAAACAGCATTTCTTCTTCAGTTTGTGCATAATTTATTTAACCTTTTTCAAATGTTTTTGAAGGCTGGTCGCTGTGGCTCACGCCTGTAATCCCAGCATTTTGGGAGGCTGAGGCTGACGGATCACCTGAGGTAAGGAGTTCAAGACCAGACTGGCCAACATGGTGAATCCCCGTCTCTACTAAAAATACAAAAATTAGCAGGCATGGTGGTAGGCGCCTGTAATCCCTGCTACTCAGGAGGCTGAAGCAGGAGAATTGCTTGAACAGGGGAGGTTGAGGTTGCAGGGACCTGAGATCACACCATTGCACTCCAGCCTGGGGGACAAGAGTGAGACTTGGTTTCAAAAACATAAATGTTTTTGAAATGAGGTGGGTTTCATGGTTTTAGGATTACAAATGATGCTGCAGTCACCACCATTCTTGTACACATTTCTTTGGTCACTCGTGCAGGTATTTCTATAGTGTAGAGAACAGGATGTGCCATTTTTTCATTCCAGTATTAATTTAATGCTTCTAATTTGAATACATTCTACACATTTATCTTCCAAGGAAGTGGGACCAAATCATATTCCAATTTGTTTCCAAATTTTATCAATGTCTCTTTTGTCACTTACTTGCTGGCACAGCTAACTTTCTACACATCGATGTATGATATTCCACTGAGGGGAGAGGAGCCCTCCTGGCTTAACCGAGAGGGTGGACAACAGAAAGACATGGTAGACATCACACAGATACTCAGTGGCATACGATGAACTGCTAAGCTTTTAAGATATTTTTAAAGTCTTCCAACATCCGTAATTGTTTTCTGTGGTGACCAAGTCACATCGGTCTGGAGAAGATGGACCACAGTGACCTCTTTGAAAGCCGTCTGTCAGGTCGCTTATCCAAGGGGAGCAAAATCACAAAGGTCCCAGGTGATATTTTTCTTCTCCCCTTTCCGCTTCATAAATCTTGATTTTGCTTTTATTTGATGAAAAAAACTCATGCTCATTCTTCCTCCTATACATGGTAAATTAGCATGCAAATTATTATTCTTTGATAGATTTTTGCAGGGGTCATGTCCATATAAATTAGCCCATCTGAGATGCATTGTTGAAACCGAAGGAACCCTGCACCCAGCCTTGTGCAGACCTGGACCCTTGGAGCTATTAGCTCATGTTCCTTCAGTTCTTCTATTGAATATCATCATAGAAATTGAGCTCTTTTGGCTTTTACCCACTACTATGGCTGTAGCACAATTTCCCTCTCTCTCTCTCTCTCTCTCTCTCTCTCTATTTTTGTATCATGATTTTCTTCCATCAGTGGCATCAGTGTGGGTTTCTGGTTTTGATGTTATAGAGTGAACTTCTGGGATCATTTTATGACTATGTAACAGTCGGTATTAAATTCTTCTGAGGATGAAAATTTGTATTTTACCCAGGTTTTCCTTAGTATAAAAATGAGGTTACTAAGAGCATTTTTGGTAGAAGTCTTGTTGGACGTAATGTTCATGCAATGTGATAGGAGTAAGGGACCACCATAGGGAGGTGAGAAGGTGCTTCTCAGAGGTGGAGACTATTATTGTTGTCAGAGGGATGAGTGTTGGAAGAACTTTCAGGCACAGAGGAAAGCATGAGCGACAGCTCTGTGGCAGCCAGGAATCTGGTAAATAGGGAATAAAAGAGGCCAGTTTGGCTGGAGCAGAGAGAGCAGGATGGAATTGGTCTGAGCAGTGAGAAGAGATGGAGAGGTGGGCAAAGCGTCTGGCCTTTCAGGGTTGGATAGTTAGGAAGTTCTGTCTAGGAAAATGGGAAGGTGTTTTTAAGTGGTTTAGGCTGGGAAGTGGCAGGGTCACATTATATTGTGAAAAAGCTACTCTGCTTGTTGTGTTGAGATTAGAGAGGCGATAAGGGGGATGTGTGTAAACCGCGAGAAGACTAGGTCAGTAGTCCTCCACCCCCACTCCCCAGGTGAAGGTAGCCCAGACTAGCGTGGTGATGGAGGAGACAGAGGAGGACAGACTGAAGGAAATTTTGCACGGTAAAAACCAGTAGGATTTTTACCTGGTGGATAAAAATCAGGGCGCTGATGGATGGAATATAGGAGAGGAGAGGTAGATTATCAGGGCTATATCATAGTTTTCTTATACACGATGGATTCAATTGCAATGAAACTGTTAATTGAAATTGACTTTAAATAATGGCACAACCTAAAGTTATGCAAACATGTGCCTTAGATAAAATTTCAAGTTTTTAAAGTTTTTGGCTGTGTGGACAGCATGGCTTTACTTCCTATCTCTTGGTATCTCTTAATATTAAAAAAAGGTTTTCCCCTCACACCTGTAATCCAAGTACTTTGAAGTACAAGCCGGGTGGATCACCTGAGGTCGGGAGTTCAAGACCAGCCAGACCAACATGGTGAAACCCCGTCTTTAAACAAAAAAAAAAAGAAAAGAAAAGAGAAGAAAAAGAAAATGAAAATAAATAAAAACAAGTGTTTCTCTTTCTGAAAGGCTTATTTTAGTGGAAGTCAATCTGCAAAATCTATTATAAATTTAAATTAGAAAATAACTACAAGTGCCATTGACACGTTCATTATTGTTTTGAGAGTGACCTAAGGCCACCTCTGGGGGATCTGGGGACTGCCTTCTGAAGCCTGCCCGGCTGCACCGGGTGCCCTGGCCTGGGGCAGCGCCAAGACCTACAGTCCTAGGAGCAGGTTCGCTCCAGCCGGCAGGGGCTGTGTCTCCTGCCTCTTTAATCTGGAGGGGCGGTTTCGGTTGCCGGGAAATCACCGATTTTCAGGATTCGGGGCTGGTGCTTCGAAAGAGAGGCAGAGGGGAGGGAGGGATTTCCCCTTTCTTGCTTCACTGGGTCCATCCCCCTAGCGCCCCCTAACAAGGTTCTGCCCTTGAGGTGGAGGGGCCCTTTAAGGCCCGCGCATGCGCGTTAGGCTCCCAGCCGGCCTGCCGGGAGGAGCCCGCGGGCCGCCGGAGGGGCTGGCGGCGGCTGAGACGGCGGTCCCGGGGTAGGTGCGGGTCCCTGGGCGCCTGAGTTTCTGAGTGAGCGCGATGCATGTTTAAAAGCCAGGAGGGCGATCCGCGGAGCCAGGAGCAGGCGGAGGCCCTGCAGGGCGGCTGCCCTCTCCGTGGGACGTTAACGTTTCGGGTGAAGTCCACCAGCGTTTCCGAGGGGAGGGCGCCCCCCAGGTCGGGCGGACGGTGAGTCTTGGACACGTGGGTGCACAACTGGGTCGGCGCGCGGGGATACAGCAAGCTTTGCTGCGGAGCGGGGTGGGAGCGCCGCCCTGCCCGGGCCTGTTCCTGCGCTCTTCGCCCGCCGCTGCCGCCCCCCGCCCTCTGGGGGGAGCGGGGTAAGAAACTCGCGGGCGGGGCTTCCTGTGGCCTCCCAGGGGGTGCAGGGACGGGCAGCTTTGGGGGCAGGTCCTTGTAAATCCTGTGGGGGACGCTGACCCTGCGCCCCACCTTCGAGGCCAGAAATCGGTTCCCTCTGGAGACCTGCGGGGCGAGACTGCTCTGGCCCCTGACTTGCAAAGTTGGCCACGGGGATTCCGCGCCTGGCGCTGTCTCCAGGCTGGTGGCGAGCAAGCCAGGTGTGCCGGGTCCAGGATGCACTAGAGGAGCGTGTGCAGCAGTCAGTGAATCACCTCAGGACTAACGGGGCAAGCTCAAATTAATCGCAGCATTTCCAGTAGGTTGGATTGTGGTGTTGCTGTTTGCCCTCAAAAGAGCTGCTGTGGTTTCCCTGTGTCTGTCTGTCTGTCTTTGGGGCTTCTTGGATCATCTCATTTGGCATCCTCTCACAGAAGAGTCAAGCCGGACTTTTGGAATGGTTTCCTCCCTTTCCTCCTGTCTTTTGCTGGTAAAGCTGCTTCCGACAGGAAGTCTTTTCCTGCAGTGCCATCTTTTCTTTGGGTTACAGTGTTGTCCATCCTTTCTTTGCCGAAGGAATGACTCGCAGAGCTTGACCAAGTTAAAGTGATCTGCTGGTAGTTTTTAAGTCTCTGTTCTGAGCTGATATGCGTTAGTTGCTTTCTTTTTGTTTTTAAATTTTACTGGTAAAATTTCACCAGTGAACCAGAAGTAGTTTTTTTCTATTCTAAAATGCCAGCTTTAAGATTTCTGAGAACTTTTTGTCCAAGAAATTTTTGAAAAGTTACTGAAGTCTACAGAAGAAGCTCACAATTTTAAATGTGCGAGTGGTCCGGGCATGGTGGATCACACCTGTAATCCCAGCACTTCCGGAAGTCATGGTGGTCAGACCACTTGAGTCCAGCAGTTCCAGACCAGCCTGGGCAATGTGGCAAAACCCCATCTCTACAAAAATACAAAAATTAGCTGTGTGTGGTGGTGTGTGCCTGTAGTCCTAGCTACCTGGGAGGCTGAGGTGGGAGGATCACCAGAGCCCAGGAGGTTGAGATTGCAGGGAGCCGTGATCATGCCATTGCACTCTGGCCTGGATGGCAGAGGCTGGGAGTGGAGGCTCATGCCTGTAACCCCAGCATTTTCAGAGACTGAGGCGGGTGGCTCACCTGAGGTCAGAAGTTTGAGACCAGCCTGGCCAACATGGTGAAACCCCTTCTCTTAAAAAAAAAAAAGAAAAAAGTATGGGTAATGAATTTTTACTAAGTGAACTACCACAGATCAAGAAATAGAACATTACTAACTTGGGGTATATATGTAGGAGTGGCATTGTTGGCTTTAGAGGTATATGAATGATAAAACTTCAGTACCAGATATTGTTGAACATTTTCCCAAAGTGGTTGTACCATTTAACAGGGAATATTCCAGTTACTCCACATCCTTGCTGATGCTTGTCAGTTAAAAATTATTTTGCCATTCGAGTAGAGGTGCTATAATAGATCAGTGTGGTTTCATTTTGCATTTTCCTGGTATTGAGATTGAGTATTTTTTAGTGCCATTTATATATCTTCTTTTGTGAAGTGCCTGTTAAATCTTTGTATCCTGTTTTCATTGATATGCTTGTTTTTCTGTTGATTTGTAATACTTTATTCTGGATATGTGTCCTTTCTAGGATATAAATGTAACATATGTATTACATTTCTCTTTTTTCAAACGGTAGCTTGCCTTTTCACTCTTTTAATGGTGTTTTTACATGAATGGAGATTCTCTAATTGTTTTCTTTCTTTTTGAGACAGGATCTCACTCTGTTGTCCAGGCCGGAGTGCCGTGGCACAATCATAGCTCAGTGCAACCTGGACCTCCCAAGGCTCAGATGAGCCTCCTGCCTCAGCCCCCAAGTAGCTGGGACCTACAGGGGAGCACCATTATGCTCAACTCTTTTTTATGTTTTTAGAAGAGATGAGGTTTTGCCATGTTGCATAGGCTGGTCTGGAATTCCTCAGCTTAAGTGATACACCTGCCTTGGCCTCCCAAAGTATTGGGATTACAGGCGTGAGCCACTGCACCCAGGCTGAGTTTCTTAAATTTAATAAAATTATACTTTATCAATCTTTTCCTTTATGGTTACTTCTTTTTGTGTCCTGTTCAAAAAACCAATGCCTAACCTAAGAATACAAACACATTTTTCTGTGTTAACCTTATAGCAATTTTATTTTAGTTTATGCATTTATTTTTCAGACAAGGTCTCACTGTACTGCCCAGGCTGGAGTGTGGTGGCATGATCTCAGCTCACTGCAACCTCTACCTCCTGGCTCAAGTGATCCTCCCACCTCAGCCTCCTGAATAGCTGTGACTATAGGCATGTGCCGCCATTGTCTAGCTAATTTTTTTATTTTTTGTAGAGATGAGGATTCAACATATTTCCCAGGTTAGTCTCAATCTCTTGGGCTCAAGTAGTCTGCCCACTTCAGCCTCCCAGTGTGCTGGGATTTCAAGCATGAGCCACCCCACGTGGCTATGATTCACTTTTTACTACATGGATGTGACTGCTTGATGCAGCACCATATATTGAAAAGACCGTTCTTGCCCTTCTGCACTGTATGGCACTTTGTTTTCATAAATTGGATGGCTGTATGGTCATCTGATGTATGAAATTAGTGTGGGTCCCTTTCTGGACCAACTTGGGCAACATAGTGGGATCCTGTCTCTACAAAATAAAAGTAAATAAATAAATGATTTTTAAAAGGTGGGTAGAGCAGATGGAGTCATAGGTGATAATTTATAAATGATTGTCAATTTCTTGGCTACATACAGGTGTCGGTAAGTCAGATGTGTTGGGCGTTCAGGCAAAATGTATTAAGTCAATTATATGGTGTTCAGAATGATGGCTAGATGTTCATTGTGACTTGAATTAATGTTATTTGAGCCTAACAGAGCTACAGTTTGGACTCTTTTATTTGTCTTTTTGAAGTTTTTACAATCCTCCTGTCAAGGCAGTAACTCTGTTATACTTAATTGTTCTTAAGTGTACTTAATTACCAGGAAAACTTTATGGATCATACCTAAATAAGTGTTAAGCCATTTAAAGAACTGATGTAATATGATGTAGACAATAGTATTCTACATAATAGTTTCAGGACTACATTGATTAAATTGTTTCTTTTTCCTTTAAAAATTTTTTTTCTTGAGACAGGGTCTCCCTCTGTTGCCCAGCAGGCTGGAGTGCAGTGGTGCAGTGGTGTGACTATGGCTCACTGTAGCTTTGAGCTCTCAGGCTTAAGCAGTCCTCCCACCTCAGCCTCCTTAGTAGCGGGACTACAGGCAATCACCACCATGCCCAGCTCATTTTTTATCTTTTGTATACAGGCTCTTCCTTCCTATGGTGTCCAGACTGGTTTCAAACTCCTGGGCTCAAACGATCCTCCCACCTGAGCATCCCAAAGTGTTGGGGTTACAGGCGTGAGCCGTCACACTTGACCATTTTAGTTTTAGTAATTTTAATATTTTTCTAGTTTAAAGCATTTACTAAAATCTATTATTTGTGAATGTAGTATTATTGTTATGATTATTTTGTATGTGCTTAATTTCATTTTCAGTATAAGCTCTTGGAAATTAGAAATCTTATCCCTTATTCACTACTGTATTCTCAGTACTTGACCTTGCCTGGTATGAAACAGGATATTGAATAAATATTTGTTAGATGAATGAGTGAATGAACATACTGATACCACATTCAACAATTCTCCAAGCATCACAGCATTCACCATTTAACAAATAAACTAGCTTGTATAGAGCAGAGGCACAGTCAACCTGCCGTAAAAGGAAATGTCAGTGAAAATAAACCTTTGTATCTGTAGCTGCTAAGATTTGGGGGCTTTTGTTACTGCAGCATAAACTAGCAAAGCTCAGTGAGACGGCAGACAGAATATACATATAGAAATAGGCCAGATAGACCAGTAGATGAGATTCCAAAGATAGCTCAGTCAGCATTAACTAACCACACCCACACTCTCTTAATTTCCTGCAGAAAGAATGGAATTCCTGTTCACTAAGATCTGCCTCAAATAGTACTTTGTGAAAAGTAAGCACTTTCTCTGGCTACTCAAGTAATTAGTCAGGACTCTTTTTTCCCAGCCCCCAGGTTGGAGTGTGGTGGTGCCATCATAGCTCAATGTAACCTCTAACTCAAGGCTCAAGGAATCCTCCTGCCTCAGCCCCCAGAGTAGCTGAGACTATAAGTGTGGGTCACCATGGTCCGCTAATTTTTATTTTTTATTTGCAGAGACAGGGTCTTACTGTGTTGCCCAGGCTGGTCAGGACTGTTGATGGCATGTGACAGAAACCAGCCAGCTCTAGTTCCCCACCACCTTTCACTCTACGCCTTTCTGCATCTTCCCAGTCTCAATAAGTGTCACTTCCATCCTTCAAGTTGCCCAAGCCCTGAATCTCAATGTTAACCTTGATTTCTCTCTTTTATCTCATAGCCAATATGAAGGCGAATCATGTTCAGACCCAGGTGAAGTTTCCTGCTGACCCAGGCTCTCACCAGCAGATTCCCCTAACTGTCCTCCTGAGGGTGTCTGGAGTTTCAGCGCTGTGTGCTCTTGGGCTCCAGGCTGGGGCACCACTGACTCCTGCTGTCCAGGGCTTTTAGTGACTCTCCAAGGCACTGATGTAGAATCTTCCCCATTTGATGCACCAAGAGCAGCCTCACATGGCGTGGGCTGACCTGAAGAGCTGCCAGGTCCAACAGGTAAAAATCATGAGGTGAGAGAGTCCTCTATCTATTATGACTCAGATGAGAAGGGAAGAGTCCATAGGCCCTGAACATCGCAGCCATTGGCACCATGTGCCGCCCATGACCTGCAGCGCATGGTCAGGTGGAAGTTATTTGACTTCAGGAGAGGACAGTGTTCTCTTCAGGCCTTTTCCTCAGTGGCTGGATCTGCGTCCCTCTCCTCTCTCTTCCCCTCTCACCACCCAGTCTCCGTCCCCGTTTCTCTCTCTCTTTCCACCTTGCTGTTCCCTTTCACCTGCTTTCTCCTCTTCAACTTTCATGGCTCACCCCCTCCCTGTTCACCCGCATTTCCCAGGCTAAGGCCCCTGCACTGTCCTATGTGGGGAGATGTGTCTGGATTTAGGCGGTGCCCTCTAGATGTGCCCAGGATGGGGAAACATGGCTCAGCTGCCAGTATAATGGTTTCAGAGAGCGACCACTCTTGAAGGCCTTTCAATCTCCCATTCTGGAATCGTGTAGGACTTAAAATTGATGGGCCACTGTGGAATTCTTGGTTCCTCAGGATCTTGTGGTGGACGCCTCCTTTCACTGAGCATTCACAGGGTGGTTATTAGGTGCCAGGCCCTGCTCTGGGCTAGGGGCACCATAATGAGTAAATATCAGGTCACTACCCCATGGAACCCACCAGTGCAGGCATCGAGAGGGGGAGAAAGAAAGCAGCGTGGCCTGTTTGTGTCCTTCTCACGTGGTCACCTGCCAGGTCCTGGGGGAGTGGGAGGAGAGAAGCCCAGTGAGAAAGGCAAATGGACGATGTCAGACCCAGGGGCTAAGACCCCCACCTGCAGCCGGGTAGCTTCTGGAGTTGGATAAGGAGCAGCAGGGGAGGTCGTGGCCTGGTGTTCTAGAGTTCACTGTCCCATCTCATTCCTGTGGGTGCCAGAACTTGTCTAAAGGGAGGACTCAGTGTCTCTGGAAACAGCAGGCAGAGACAGTGTTTCAGAAAAGGATGAAGGAATTGCACATCATGGAAACAATATGGTTTTACAGTAGTGCATCTCTAATAACTAGTTAGCGTGTTCCTGTTAATGGAAAATATTGGTGATGTAAGTTCCCCTCGATCTTCTCATTGTTGTGTAAGTTCATTTGTTCCCCCCTCCCTCCCCTCTTTCCTCCCTCCCCTCCTTCCTCCCTCCCCTCCCTCCTTCCTTCCTTCCTTCCATGTCTTTCTTTTCCTTCCTTCCTTCCTCCCTCCCTCCCTTCCTCCCTCCCTCCCTTCCTCCCTCCCTCCCTTCCGTCCTCTTTTCTTTTTCTTTCTCTCTCTCTCACTCTTTCTTTCTTTTCTTTCATTTAAACTTTTTTGAATAGACCACACTGTACTGAAACCTACATTATTTACCCAAATCTCTGGAGTGACTTCTGTCTTTCAGGCAGGGAGGTCATCCTGCATCCCTCAGCCCCTCCCAGCCTCCTTCTCCTTTGATTTGTGGGTACCCCTGGGGCAGCTGCTGAGTCTCAGTGGTTTCTAGTCTTCATTATGTTCTGCCCACCTGGACGGTTTGTTCCTGTCCTTACCAGAGGCCTACACTGTCTAGATCACTGAGGCAGCTTCCGCCTAACTGATCTGCTATCTGTATTCCGACGGCACCCCAGCGATAGAGGCAAAAGGCACAGGCATTGAAATCTCCAACTGCTGTGACTCTAGGTCGGTGCACTTCCATGCCAAGTACTAATCACACAATAACAGGATGCCACCAAAACCTGATTCGGGCCTGCTTGCTGCCTCCTAATTTCAAAAAACTTAATAGACATTATTTTTTAGAACAGTTCTAGGTTTACAGATAAATTGAGTAGATAGTACAGAGAGTTCTCCTAGGCTCCCCTGACTTCCAGCACACAATTTCCCTTTTAGTATGTTGTATTAGTGTGGTCCATCTGTTACAATTGATCAACCAATATTGATACATCATTATTAACTAAAGTTCATAGTTGACATTAGAGTTCATTCTTCAAGTTTTCACACATTATGAGTTTTGGCAATTACATAATGTCATAAATCCCCAATACAGCATCATGCAAAATAGTTTCACTGCTGAAGATTCCCTGCGCTTCACCATTTCAGGCCTCCTCTCCTCCACCCCTGACAACCACTCATCATTTCACTGTTTCTGTCTTTTTGACTGTTCAGGAATGTCCTACAGTTGGAATCATAAAATATATAGGTTTCCCAACTGGCTTCTTGCTCACATGATGGACTTAAACTTCCTCCATGTCTTTTTTGTGGCTCGATGGCTCATTTTAAAAAATCACTGAATTAGATTTCATGGCATGGCTACAACACAGTTTGTTTATTCCTTCACTTGCTGAAAGACACCTTGGGTCTTCCAAGTTTTCACACTGATGAATAAAATTGCTGTAAGTACTTATGTGCAGGATTTTGAGTGCACTTCAGTTTTCCAAAGTGACTGTACCACTTTGATTTTCACTAACTATGGAGAGTTCTAGCTGCTCCTCATCTTTGACTGCATTTGGTGTGTTTACTTTCTGCATGTTAGCCATTCTAATAGGTTTGCAGAGACAGCACATTGTTTTAATGTGCAATTCCCTAACGACAGATGATTTTGAGAATCTTTTTTATATGCTTATGTGCCATCTGCATATTTTATTGGTGATGTGCTCAGATCTGTCACCTATTTTTATTATTTTTTTGACTTGTGGGTGTTTAGTTCTCAGAATTCTTCATCTATTTTGGACAGCAGTGTTTTATCAGATTATTTTGTAAATATTTTCTGCCAGTCTTTGACTTGCTTTTTCCATTATCTTCACAGTGTCTTTCACAGAGCAGAAGTTTTTCATTTTCATGAGGCTCAACTTTATTTTTTTCATTCGTGGATTGTGCTTTTCTCCTATATGATCTCCTAGGATTCTTACGGTTTTGTACCTTACGTTTAGGTGTAAGATTCATTTTATGAAGGGCATAACATGCACAGCTAGATTGATTGATTGATTGATTTTGCATTTGGTTTTCTAGATGTTTTAGCACCATTAGTTGGAAAGGCTATCCTTGCTGTTTTAAATTGTCTTTAAACCTTTATGAAAGATCAGTGGACTGTATGTAGGCCTGTTTCTGGGCTCTGTATTCTTTTTCATAGATCTTACTTGTGTGTTTTTTCTCTTTTCACCAGCTTCACGCTGTTTTGGTTTCTGAAGCTTTCTTGTAAGTCCTGAAGCTGGTAGTACCAACTTCATGGTTTTTTTCTGAACTTGATTATGACAACCTGATTGGGATTGTTGTAGTCAAACTTGGAAGTGTCTAAGATTCCCCCTTAGTTTGGTCTTCGAGGAGTTCTTAACGCTCAAGGCAGGCCACCGTCAGCTGCTAGTAATCTGTCACTACATTTAAGTGCGCCTCCCAGTGGCTGGCTCCAGTAGCTTCTCTTCCTGGTGCGCTGTGACTCCTTGTCTCTCTCAGTTTTAGGATGGCAGTTTTCCCCGTGACCTCGCTTCTCTGGTGCATCCTAGAAGAGCTGACTTTCAGTTTGTTCAGTTTTTTCTCTAGCTGTGAGGATAAGTGATGACTGCCTCGCTCTTTCCATGTTGGGGTCAAAACCCAAAAGTTCATTTAAGGAGTTACTTGTAATAAAAGTCACCCACTGTCAGTGTACAACTTAGTCATTTAGGTTGATGTATAGAATTGTGCAGCCAGCAGCAGAGTTCTATTTTAGCAAATTTTTGTCACTTCCCCAGATTCTGTTGAGCCTCTTTGTAGTCATTTCCTAATCCCTGTTCCCCGTGACTAGATCTGGATAGAATAAATATTTGGATAACAGACTTCACTCTATTTACATTTTCATGTGTTTGGAACTTTATATATTGGCCTGTTTTCTTCCTTTTCTGACAAATGGAGAAGAGATTGGATTCTAGGCATGTTTTTGGGGGAAACATAACAGTAGTCCTGTTTATGGCTCTCCTTAAATTGGTTCATCTGTGCTGGTGAGTGGTATTTGCTACAAAACCTTGTCTGGTGAGCACAAGGAAAGGAATCTTTAAAAATCTGCTGTTAAAACAGAAACGATACATTTTCTTTTCTTTTTTCTGAAGATTATTTTATTTTACTATATCCAGCACTTCTACCCATGTTATTCTCCCACCCTCCCCACCCCCACTATCCCTCCCCTACACCCCCAGCTGCCCCCAGTATGTGATGCTCCCCTCCCTGAGTCCACATGTTCTCATTGTTCAACATCCATCTATGAGTGAGAACATGTGGTGTTTGGTTTTCTGTTCTTGTGTCAGTTTGCTGAGAATGATGGCTTCCAGATTCATCCAAGTCCCTACAAAGGACACTAACTTATCATTTTTTATGGCTGCATAGTATTCCACAGTGTATATGTATCACATTTTCTTTGACCAGTCTATCATTGATGGGCATTTGGGTTAGTTCCAGGTCTTTGCTATTGTACACAGGGCTGCAATGAACATATGTGTGCATGTGTCTTTATAGTAGAACAATTTATAGTTCTTTGGGTATATACCCAGTAATGAGATTGCTGGGTCAAATGGAATTTCTATTTCTAGATCCTTGAGAAATTGCCACACTATCTTCCACAATGGTTGAACTAATTTACACTCCCACCCACTGTGTAGGAGTGTTCTTGTTTTTCTACATCCTCTCCAGCATCTGTTGTCTACAGATTTTTTAATGATCGCCATTCTAACTGGCATGAGATGGTATCTCAATGTGGTTTTGATTTGGATTTCTCTAATGACCAGTGATGATGAGCATTTTTTCATATGTTTGTTGGCCTCATATATGTCTTCTTTTGAAAAGTGCCTGTTCATATCCTTTGCCCACTTTTGAATGGGGTTGTTTGTTTTTGTCTTGTATATCTGTTTTTGTTCTTTGTAGATCCTTTGTCAGATGGGTAGATTGCCAAATTGTTTCCCATTCTGTTGGTTGCCGACCCCCCATTTGTCTATCTTGGCTTTTGTCACCATTGCTTTTGTGTTTTAGTCATGAAGTCCTTGCCTATGCCTATGTCCTGGATGGTTTTGCCTACATTTTCTTCTAGTGTTGTTATGGTGTTAGGTTTTATGTTTAAATCTTTAATCCATCTGGAGTTAATTTTAGTGCAAGGTGACAGGAAGGGGTCCAGTTTCTGCTTTCTGCACATTGCTAATCAGTTTTTCCAACACCATTTATTAAACATGGAGTCCTTTCCCCATTGCTTGTTTTTGTCAGGTTTGTCAAAGATCAAATGGTTGTAGTTGTGTGGTGTTGCTTCTGGGGCCTCTGTTCTGTTCCAGTGGTCTGTGTCTCTGTTTTGGTACCGGTACCATACTGTTTTGATTACTGTAGCCTTGTAGTATAGTTTGAAGTCCAGCAGTGTGATGCCTCTGGTTTCATTCTTTTTGCTTAGGATTGTCTTGGCTATGCAGGCTCTCTTGTGATTCCATATGAAGTTTAAAGTGTTTTTTTCCAGTTCTATGAAGAAGGTCACTGGTAGCTTGATGGTGATAGCATTGAATATATAGATTACTTTGGCAAGTATGGCCATTTTCACAATATTAATTCTTCCTAACCATGAGCATGGAATGTTTTTCCATCCGTTGTGTCCTCTCTTACTTTGTTGAGCAGTGGTTTGTAGTTCTCCTTGAAGAGGTCCTTTACATCCTTTGTTAGTTGTATTCCTAGGTATTTTATTCTCTTTGTAGCAATTGTGAATTGTGAAAAGTTCACTCTTGATTTTACTCTCTGTTTCTTTGTTATTGGTATATAGGAATGCTTGTGATTTCTGCACATTGATTTTGTATCCTGATATTTCGCTGAAGTTGCTTATCAGTTTGAGAAGATTTTGGGCTGAGACGATGGGGTCTTCTAGACATACAATCATGTCATCTGCAAATAGAGTTTGACTTTCTCCTTTCCTAATTGAATACCCTTTATATCTTTTTCTTGCCTGATTGCTCTGGCTAGAACTTCCAGTACTATATTGAATAGGAGTGGTGAGAGAGGGCATCCTTGTGCAGTGCCTGATTTCAAAGGGAATTCTTCCAGCTTTTGCCCGTTCAGTATGATATTGACTGTAGGCTTGTCATAAGTGGCTTTTATCATTTTATATACGTTCCATCGATACCTAGTTTATTGAGAGTTTTTAGCATGAAGGGCTGTTGAATTTTGTCAAAGGCCTTCTCTGCAGAGATGATACATTTTCACATATTAATATGTGGAATTAAGTACTAAACCATCTTTATTCTTTTTCTTTTCTTTTCTTTCTTTTCACAGAATTTTTGCTCTGTGCCCAGGCTGGAGTGCAATGGCATGATCTCAGCTCACTGCAACCTCCACCTCCTGGGTTCAAGTGATTCTCCTGCCTCAGCCTCCTGAGTAGCTGGGATTACAGGTGCCCACGACCACACCCAGCTAATTTTTGTACTTTTAGTAGAGAAAAGGTTTTACCATATTGGCCAGGTTGGTCTCTAACTGTTGACCTCAGGTGATCCAACTGCCTCTGCCTCCTAAAGTGTTAGGATTACAGGCATGAGTCACTGCACCAGGCCTGAACCATCTTTATTCTTTCAGAAATTTGGTTCATAACAGTAAAGCCACGCTCCTCACATGCCTGAAATTCTCCTCATTGTCTTCTTCAGGTGGCAAGGCTCTGGAATAGCCACATAAAAGTGAGGGCAAGATTTTTCCTGTAGTTCTTTGATTGACTGATTTTTGCTCTTAGAGGGGTTAGCATCCATGTATCTGAAATAGAATGCAAGAGTAGAGGCAGGCACCTGTAACTAGTTTTCTCCTGCTGCCTATTATCACATTACCACAAACCAGTGGTTTGAAGCCACAGAAGTCTGGAATGAAGCAGCTGGGTTTTGTGATCAGGGTCACGTGAAGCTACAATCTGGGAATGGGCTAGCTATGGGTTTTCTCTAGAGCTCAGGCTATTTTTCTGAGTTCACTACACTTATTGAAAGAGTTTCTATTCTTGTTTGTGGGGGACTGAGGGCCCTTTTACTGTGCTGGCTGTCAACCAGGAGACACTCTGACTTCAGAGGCAACCTGCTTTCCTACTTACCTGTCTTTTCCATCTTTCAACCAATCACAACTCATGGAGTCCTTCTCAGGCTCCTCCTTTCTCTGACTTCATCTTCTCCAATTAGCCACAAAAAGTTCTGTGACCTACGGAGTGATGTGATTCGATCCAGTTCATGCAGGTAACCTCACCGTCTTCAAGTCACATAACTGTCATATAACAACATAATCACAGGAATCATGTCTCATCCCTTTAACAGGCTTCAGAGACAAGGGTATGGCATGTTTGGGGACCATTTCAGAAATTCCATCTACCACAGTTGGACACTCACATTCCCCCATCTGCAAAATGCATTCACCCTCTCCCCTAAAGTTTCCAAATTTCATGTAAATAAAGCATTAGTTCAACATGAAAAATGTCACATAAACCACATCAGATCAAATCTCATCTAAAATATCCACACCAGGTATGGATGAGGCTTCTGAGGGTGTCCATTAAGTACAGATCTTTGACATAATTTCCTTACCTCCATTGACCTGTGAAACTGAACAAACTGCTTATCTGCTCCTAATGTGGAATGGCGGGACAGACACAGAATAACAATTACAGTGATTCTAGTTCAAAATGAAGGAACATGGAAGGGAGAAAGAAGTCAGCGACCCAGAATAGTATGGAAGTGGAGTGGGGCAAAATCCAGCAGGAGTTTCTTAAATAGGAACCACAGCCTGGGACTAAGCCTCCATCCTGTGGGACTTTGCCTCTGGGATCTTTGTTCTGCAGTTCTTGAAACTATTACTATTTATCTTTTTTCCCACTCTTTGGTTCTTCCCCTTTCTCCTGTTGGTAGCATCCTCAACTTAAACCTTGGTCCATTATCCCCAGCAGAATTGATCAGATACTGCCCATGTCACGGTCCTGACCATCTCCATCAGGCACTCCTCTGGGAGTGTCTTCACTAACTGACCTCTCTCAAGCATGATTGCTTTCAGCTGACCTGGCTGGCTTTGGAGAAAACCTAAGACTATGGAGTCCCAGAACCAATCTCTGCCCTCTCTATCTCCAGGAGAGGAAGAAAATAACAGGGGTCTTCAGTGAGAAATGACCCGCGTGAGGGCCTGGACTCTTCAGCAGTTACAGCAGAGGAAACTCCCTGAGGAGCATGGAGGAGATGAACTCCCAGACTGGGAAAGCAGGGTTGTGTTAAGCACTGTTTAATTCTCATGTGCTCCCTGCCCCAATCTACAAGCCAGCAAATGACAATAGGCTGAGAATAAGTAATAGGACTATAGAACCACGATAAAGAATTGTCCAAGGAAAGGCCCTTTTACTCTGTTTGCAAGGTGAAATTGCTGTATTGGATCCAAAGATTTCTGAAAGGCAGCAGTGAGTTTCTGGAGGGTGAGTTACCTGCTTTGCACAGGGAGCCTGAGGCCCAGGCTTGCATGGTGTGTCTGCTGCCACCAAGTGGTGAGGGAGCCTGGGAGAGTCTTAGTCTTTCTGGACTTGAGTTTTCTCATCAGCAAGGTAGGGGCTTATTTTACCTCTCTGAGGTCCCTTCCTGCACAGTTTTGTCCGAGTTCTTGAGGGACTAAGATGGTTTTTAACACTTCCTGGACCTGTAACCTGCACTGACCTCTGTGGGTCTGACTCCTGACTGGCCCCTGTGTGTCTCCTGCAGAGCCTGAGCTGAGTCCACACCCTGGAAGCACAGAACCGAGGGATCAGATGGAAGAAAGAAAGTCAGCAGGTTTTGGGAAAGAGAATAACCTGCAAAGGACAAGTCAATGATAGAACAGGTGAGAACCAAAGAAGGGGAGAATAAGGACAAACTGGGCCAGAAGCCTCAGGGGAAATGGGCAATGGGTCTGTCATCATTCAACTACTCGAGGAGGGCAAGCTGAGCAGTGGGGATGGAGAGAGAAACTTACTCCACAGGAGTCTCCTGACCCCAGCCAGGGAGAGCCAAAGGGTGGATCACAGCTGGTTTATAATGAGGGGCAGCACCAACTCCAATAGGGGGAGGATGCGACCATGAGCCCCTGCCTTAGACCCCAGAGCCTCAACCTCAGGGCTGCCGTAGCAGTGGATGCTCTTCAGGTCAGTGTGGGTTAGAGGGAATAACCGTGCTTGGACAAGGGTTGGAGATGTCTGTCCCTACTTCAAACAGTTCTGCCCTAGGTCAGGTGCCTGAGTAACTGTTTCCTGCCAGTATATGAAGCAGTGATAGTTACACTCTTCCTCTGCACTTTCAGTTGAGGAAGGTCTCTATATGATATGAGTATTTACTGGGTGTTTAATTTCCTCTACACTGTGTTAAGCACTTGGGGTTCAAATAGTAATGTTTCCCCAAGGAACTCAAGCCCATGAGAGAAAGAACACAAAGACATGATTTCAAGAAAATACAGTAGCTCTCTGAAAGTGGAGTGTCATGGCAGCCCAGAGGATGGGAGTGTAGATGAAGACATTGCTCCTAATGACAAGGGGAACCATAAGAGGGATTCTTCAGAGTAGTCCCGTTTCTCCTCCAGTGACCCACAGAAGACCCTGGCACATGACTGGTCCCTAGAGCAGGGGTCTACAGGTATAGGAAGGAGGCTTGCTGCTGCAACGTGGGAGAAATTGTAGCCTCCCTGGTGGGACATTTTAGAGTGGAATGTCGGTGATTGGATTGGATATTGGTAGTCAGTTTTGTCCTATCTTCCATGAACACTGCTGAGACCTTCCTTAGTGCCATACCCTAAGCTGGGAATCGTGAACACAGAGATGAGTAGAATATGATCTCAGCTTTCCCAGAACTCTCAGTCTAGTGAATAGCGAGTTATGAGAAGTGTAGTGATGGTGGCTTCATTAGAGCAAGTGGCTCATGCTGCATGGAGGTGACCTCAGTGGATGGCCTGGTCACCCTTCTGGTTGTCATCAACAGCTGCATGACTTGCTCTGTGCCAGTGACCCTGGACTTCTGCCAGGTGTCTGCATCTTAGGTACAAGCAACACCTCAGTTTCCTGTTGGGTCAAAACAGTGAACACTGCCAAGGTGATCAGAGGACACTAGTGACATCACTAGCTACTGATGAGGTCCTGGCCAGCTAGGGAAATAAAGATGTAAGTTTAAGAACGATTCTACATTTGTTCTTAACATAATGAGCAGAGATTATCTGTCTTTTAAGTTAAATACTTTTTAGACTTCAAGATTCACCCACGTCCAAAATAAAATATATATCGGCCATATTACTGCCCTGAGATGATTTCTCCCTGTCCTACCAGAAGCCTGCACTATCTGGAGTACTGAGGCTGTCTCAAGCTAACTGATCTGCTCTCTGGATTCCGGGGACCCCCACAGAGCCAGAGGTTGAAGGCATTGGCATTGATGTCTCCGACTGTTCTGACTCCAGGTTGGTGCACCTCAGTGCCCAGTATTAACCACACAGTAACAGGATGCCACCAACACTTTGATTTGGGGCTGTTGCATCCTAACTTTAATGTAATAGACATTATTTTTTAGAATAATTCTAGGTTTACAGATAAATTGAGCTGATAGTACAGGGAATTCCCCTACTCTCTCTTGTCCCTTAGCACACAATTTCCTCTCTCATTGGTATCTTGCGTTAGTGTGATACATGTTTACAATTGGTTAATCAATATTGATATGATATTATTAACTAAACTCCATAGTTTACATTAGGGTTCATTCTTTGAGTTTTACAGTTCTATGGGTTTTGACAATTACCTAATGTCCTGAATCCTCAGTACAGTATCTCACAGAAGAGTTTCACTGCTGAAAACCTCCTTGTGTTCAACCAATTCATCCCTCCTCCATGCTTAGCCATCACTGATCATTTCACAGTCTCTACCACTCTGACTTTCCTGGAATGTCCTAGTGTTGGAATCATACAGTGTGTAGAGTCTTTAGACTAGTTTCTTCCTAGCATTATGGATTTAAAGTTCCTCCATGTCTTCTCATGGCTCGATAGCTCATGTCTTTTTATCACTGAATCATATTCTCTTGTACAGATAAACACAGTTTGTTTAGCCATTCACTTACTGAGGGACCGTTTGGTTACTTCCAGTTCTTGACAAGTATGAGTAAAACTGTTGTAAATACTTGGATGCAAGTTTTTGAGTGAACATGTTTTCACATTACTTTGGTAAGTATCTAAAACTGCTATTTGCAGGATTATATGGCAAGGCTATGCTTAGCTTTGTAAAAAACAACAACGAAAACCTGCCAAACTGTTTTCCAAAGTGACTAGCATTGTGCATTTCCACTAGCAGTGAATGAGAGTTCCTCTTGCTCTGCATCTTTGACAGCCTTTGGTATTGTCACTTGTTTGGATTTGAGCCTTCGTATTAGGTGTATATTATAGTGTAGTGGCATCTCATTGGTTTAATATGCAATTTCCTAGTGACACATGGTTTTGAGCATCTTTTTCATATGCTTATTTGCCATCCATGTATCTATTCTGGTGAATTATCCAGATCTTTTGCCCATTTTTAAATTGAGTTATTTGCTTTTTATTATTGAGTTTTAAGAGTTCTTTATATATTTTGGACACCAGTCTTTCATCAGATCTGTATTTTGCCAATATTTTTTTCCCAGTCTATCACTTGCTTATTCATTTTCTTCACAATGTCTTTCACAGAGCAGAAGTTTTTAACTTTAATGAAGTTCAACTTATCCATTTTTTTCTTTCCTGGATTGTGCTTTTGGCTTTGTATCTGAGCAGTCATCGCTAAACCCAAAGTCGCTAAGATTTTCCCCTATGTTATCCAGGAGTCTTACAGGTTTGCACCTCACATTCAGGTGTAAGGCCTATTTTGTGAAAGGTGTACAATCTGTGCCTACATTTATTTATTTTTCACATGTGAATATCTAGTCATTCTAGCACCATTTGTTGAAGACTGTCCTTTCCCTGTTAAACTGCCTTTGCGCCTTTCTCAAAGACTAGTTGAGTATTTGTGTAGGTGTATTCCCGAGCTCTGTATTCTTTTCTAGTGACCTATTTGTCTGTTTTTTTCTTTCTTCATCAATTTCCACACTGTTTGGTTTCTGAAGCTTTATAATTAGTACTGAAGTCAGCAGTGTCCATTCTCTGGGGATTTTTCTGATCTTTACTATGAGAACGTGGTTGCGCTTCTGGTGGTAAAACTTAGAAAAGTGTGATATTGCCACTAAATCTGGTCCCCAAGGAGTTTTTAATGCTCAAGCCAGGCCACCCTTAGCTTCTGGTAATCTGTCAGTACCGTTTAAGTGCTCCTCCCAGTTGCTGGCTTCAGCAACTTCTGTTCTCTGTATTTGTTTTCAGCATGGCAATTTGCCCTGTGACCTCTCCTCTGGTCCCTCTAATAAAGTTTGATAATTTTCAGTTTGTTCAGCTTTTCTCTTGTTGTGAGGACAAGTGGTGACCTCCTAGCTCCTTACAAGTTGGAGTAGAAACCAGAAATATCATTTAACAAGTTGCTTGTAATAAAAGTCACTAATTGCAAATGTAGAATTTAATAATTTAAGTAGATATATAGAATTTTGCAGCCATCACCTCAGTCCCCTCTTAGTATGCATTTCTTCCTCCCCAGATTCCCCAGAGCCTCTTTGCAGTCATTTTCCAATCCCTGCTCACCTTGACGGAGCCTGAACAAAATACAAATTTGGAAAACAAACATTAAATTTAAGCTTTTATTAGATTGGAATTTTATAGAATGGACCATTGTCTTACTCTTGTGGCAACTAGAGGAGATATTTTATTCAAAGGACGTTCTTTGGGGGAACTTAGTAGTAGTCCTGTTTATTGCTCTCCTTGAATTGGTTCGTCTATGCTGGTGACAGATAGTTGCTATCAAACCTTGTCTGGTGAGCACAAGTGAAAGAGCTAAAAAAAAAATCTTCTATTAGAAATGTGGATGATGAATTTGCAGATGATGTTATGCGGAGTTAAGTTTTATTTTTGTTTTGTTTTGTTTTGTTTTTTGAGCCAGAGTTTTGCTCTTGTTGCTCAGGCTGCAGTGCAATGACGTGATCTCAGCTCACTGCAACCTCTAACTCCTGGGTTCAAGGAAGTCTCCTGCCTCAGCCTGCCAAGTAGCTGGGATTACAGGCATACACTACCATGCCAAGCTAATTTGGTATTTTTAGTAGAGACAGGGTGTCTCCATGTTGGTCAGGCTGATCTTGAACTCCCGACCTCAGGTAATCTGCCCTCCTCAGCCTCCCAAACTGTTGGGATTACAGGCATGAGCCACCATGCTGGAGTGCCATGGTGCAGTCTCAGCTTACTGCAACTTCTACCTCTAGGGTTCAGTTGATTCTTGTGCCTAAGCCTTTTGAGTTGCTGAGATTACAGTCATGCACCACCATGCCCAGCTAATTTTGTATTTGTAGTAGAAACAGAGTTTTTCCATGTTGGTCAGGCTGGTCTTGAGCTCCCAACCACAGGTGATCCACCCACCTTAGCCTCCTAAAGTGCTGGGATTACATGCATGAGCCACCACACCTGGCTTGGAGTTAAATATTTTACCATCTTTTTTCTTTCAGAAATTGGGTTGGCCACACTGAGGAGACACTTCTCACCTGCCTGAAATGCCCTTCATTATCTTCTTCAAGTTGCAAGGGCTCTGGAACAGCCCTTACAGTGCTCCCATAAAGGTAAGTGTAACATTTTACTGTAGTTCTTTGCTTTTTGTGTGTGTATGCTTATAGGGATTAGCATACATGTATGTGAAAATATAAAAAGAGTACAGATAGGCACCTGTAACTAGTTTTCTGTTGCTACCTTCTAATGCATTATAACAAGTTAGTGGTTTGAAACCACAGAACTCAGGAATGATTGGGTTCTCTGATCAGGGTCTTAGGAGGCTGAAATCCAGTTATGTGCTGCCTGTGTTTTTCATCCGCAGCTCAGGCTACTCTTCCAAGTTCACTGCAGATATATTGGCAGAATCCCTCTTCTTATGGGTGGAGGATGGAGATCCCTTTTGTACCATGGCTCTCAGCCAGGAGACACCCTGACTCCAGAGGCCACCTGCATTCTTTCTCACTTTCCCCATCTTCCAACCAACAACAGCTCATGGAATTCTTCTCCAGCTCCCATCCTCTCTCTGACTTGTCTTCTACCCACTAGAGAAATCTCTGACACATAGGGAGTGATGTGATTAGATCTGGCCCACTCAGGAAAGCTCAGCTTTGTATTAGTCTGTTCTTGCAGTGTTATAATGAATGACCTCAGACTGGGTGATTTATAAAGGAAAGAAGTTTAATCAGATGATGGTTATGTGGGTTGTACAGGCTTCTGCTTGTGGGGAGGACTCAGGAAACCTACAGTCATGATAGAGGTGGAGCAAGCACGGTCTTCACATGGCCGGCAGGAGAGAGGGAGAGAGAAAGGGGAAGTGCTACATACTTTTAAACAACTAGGTCTCATGGAAACTGTATCATGTGACTGCACTTGCGGGGTGGTGCTAAGCCATTAGAAACCATCCCCATGATCCAGTAACCTCCTGCCAGGCCCCCCCTCTAACACTCAGGATTATAATTCAACATGAGATTTGGGTGGGGACACAGAGCCAAACCATATCACTCTTTAAAGTCATATGACTGCCATGTAACAACGTAATCACAGGAATGTCTCACCAGTTTAACAGGTTCCAGAGATAAGAGTACAGCATGTTTGGAGACCATTTTAGGAATTCCACCTATCACAGTTCAACTTCTGATCCCCAGACATTCATGTTCCTCACAGATGCAAAATACATTCACCTTCTCACCTAAGGTTTCCAAGTTTCATGTCATTAATGCATTAGTTCAAAGTGAAAAATGTCATGTAGCTCTAATCTGAACAAAAGTTTAAAATCTCATTTAAATCATCTACACCAAGTGTGAATGAGGCTTTGGAGGGCATTTATTAAGCACAGATTCTTATTTTTTGAGAGTGAGTCTCGATCTGTCACCCATGCTGGAGTGCAGTGGTGTGATCTTGGCTTACTGCAACTTCTGCCTCCTGGGTTCAAGCCAATCTCCTGCCTCAACCTCTTGAGTAGCTGGGACTACAGGTGTGTGCCACTACGTTCAGCTAATTTTTTTTTTGTATTTTTAGTAGAAATGGGGTTTTACCCTGTTGGCCAGGCTAGTCTGAAACTTCTGACCTCAGGGCTAGGGATCTGTCCCCCTAAGCTTCTCAAAGTGCTAGAACTACAGGCATGAGCCACCATGCCCAGCTCAAGTACAGATCCTTGATCTAATTCCCTTATCTCTGTTGACCTGTGAAACTGAAGAAACAGCTTATCTGTCCTCAATGTGCACTGGTGGGACAGTCGCAGAATAACAATGCTAGTGATTCTTGTTCAAAACGAGGGAAAGTGGAGGGAACAAACTGATCCAAAACCATTTTGAAATGAGGCTGAGCAAAGTCCAGCAGGAATTTCTTGATTAAGCTCCTCAGCCTGGAAATAAACCCCTGTGACAGGGGGCTTTGCCTCCGGGCTCTGCATTTTTTTCTATCGTTATTGAAAACATTTTATTTTCCTTCTTCCCCCACTCTTTTGGTTCTTCCCCTTTCTCTTCATGGCAGGATCCTCTACTTAATCCTTCTTGCATTATCCCCAGCAGAATTGGTCAGATATTGCCTGTGTCACAGTCCTGACCATCTCCACCAGGGGCTGTCCTTGTGAGCCCGTGCTCCACTTCACTGACCTGACCTCTCTCAGTCATGATTGCTTTCAGCTGCCCTGGCTGGATTAGGAGAAAACCTAAGACTATGGAGTCCCAGAACCAATCTCTGCCCTCTCTGTCTCCAGGAGAGGAAGAAAATAACAGGGATCTTCAGTGAGAAATTACCCACATGAGGGCCTGGACTCTCCAGCAGTTACAGCAGGAGATAGTTTCTGAAGAAGAATGGAGGAGCTGAGAGCCCTGGCCGGGAATGCAGGGTTTTGTGAAACACTATTTAATCCTAGGTGCTCCCTGCCCCAGTCTACCAGCCAGTGAATGACAGCTGACCAAGTATAAATGCTAGGACTATAGAACTCTGATAAAGGGTTTGTCCAAGGAAAGGGCCTTTTACTGTTTTTGTTTTCACAGAAGAAATTGCTGTTTTTCATCTAAAGCTTCTGAAAGGCAGCAGTGAGCTTCTGGTGGGTGAATTACCTGCTCTGCACAGGGAGGCTGAGGCCAAGGCTTGTGGTGGATCTGCTGCCACCAAGTGGTGAGGGAGGGAGCCTGAGAGAGTCTTAGTCTTTCTGGGCTTCAGATTCCTCCTCGGTAAGGTAGAGGCTTATTGTACCTCTCTGAGGTCCCATCCTGCTCTGTTTTCTCTGAATCTCTGAGGAATTGAGATGGTTTTCAATGCTGCCTCGGACCTTCAGCTGAGACCTGACTCTGTGTGTCTGCTGCAGGAGCCTGAGCTGAGTCTACATGCTGGAATCCCAGAGCTGAGGGAACAGGTAGAAGAAAGTCAGCAGGTTTAGGGGATAGAATAATCCACAAAGGACAAGCCATTGGTAAATGAAAACCCAAGAAGGGGACAATGAGGGCAAATGGGCCAGAAGCCTCAGGGGAAATAGGCAATGCCTATGGTCATTTAAACCCTCAAGGAGCAGGGTGAGCTGAGCAGTGGGGACTGAGAGAAACTTCCTCCACAGGAATCTCCTGCCTCTGGCCAGGGAGAACCACAGCGTGGATCACAGCTGGTTTATAGTAAGGGGCAGCTTCGACTCCAAGAGGGGAAGGATGTGACCATCAGCCCCCACCCCAGATGCAGGAGTCTCGACCTCGTTGCTGCTCTAGCAGTGGATGCTCTTCAGGTCAGTGTGGATTAGAGGGAATAACCGCGCTTGGACAAGTGTTGGAGATATCTATTCTTACATCAAACAGCTCTGCCCTAGGTCAGGTGCCAGAGTAATTGTCCCTTGCTTATATATGAAGCAGTGATACTTAAAATATTCTTCTGCACCTTCAGTTGAGGGAAGTTTCTCATAAATATTTATTGAGTATTTTTTTTTTTTTTATGCTGTGCTAAGCACTTGGGATTCAGGTATTTACTGTCTCTCTAAAGAAACTCAAGGTCAAGATATCAAGACCATCCTGGCTAAGATGGTGAAACCCTGTCTCTACCAAAACCACAAAAATTAGCTGGGCATGGTGGCACATGTCTGTAGTTCCAGCTACTCAGGAGGCTGAGGCAGGAGTATTGCTTGAACCTGGGAGGCAGAGTTTGCAGTGGACTGAGATTGTGCCACTGCATTTCAGCCTGGTGACAGAGCAAGAATGTCTCAAAAGAAAAAAAAAAGGAAAAAAAAAGAAAAAGAAAAAAAGGAAAACTCTTAGTGAGAATCATTGGTATTCCATAGAAGAGAGAATTAACTATAGTCAAGGGAAGACCCAAGTCTCATACTTCTCTTGTATATTCCAAAAGCCCAGGGAAATTCCAGGTAATAGAGGTTATTTCCCATGCTGTTAAAGCAAGGTTGCAGACACTTCTGAATTTTGGTCCCAGTATTCTAGGAGGGCACAGCTCTGTCCTGGAAAATGATACAGGAATGAATACTCTTCCTGTGACTCATTCTGGTCATTCATCCAGCATCACAGAAACCAAACAATGGAAATATGGCCAAATTCATGATTTGCTAGCCCTCTTGTTCAGGTTTCTTACCTGATTGTTAGGATAACAGCATTACCTTGAAGATTATGATGAAGATACGCTGTCCAAATATGTGCACAGTTTTGAGCAAAATGCCTGGTACACATTGGTCAAGAAATAATTACTGAATAATTATATGAATATTTACTGAATGACATGGATTCTATGAATAATTATGGAATAATTGTTGTGATTGCTTTTATTAGCAGGGCTCAAAACTCATCTCTGTGTGACCTCAAATAAGCCACATAACTTTGTGAACCTACAGTTTCAACATTTTTAAAATGAAGAAACCTGACAGCTTTTCATTCTGCCACAGAATGTCAGGCCTCCCAGACACCAGAACATACATTTACTTAAAGCCTTTGATGTATCTCAAAGCAGTGTCCTTACAGTGTTGTTGGAGGACGGTGGGGGCTGTAGAGAGGCACGCTTTCCAGTGGGATTGATCCAGTTCTTTTTCCTTCACTTCCTTCAGCCCAGGGTCACACCCATTGCACCCTCTACTCAGGCAAGCCCAGCAGCCAAACATAGGAGACCTGGGCTACAGAACAGTCTCCCAAGTCCCAGGCTCACAAAACCTAGGTGGAGATGATGGCTGAGAAAGTGAGGAGGTGGTTCAGGGGATCACTCTTCCCTACTTGTTCCTCTCATCTCAGATTCACCTTCTATTGCACAGCAACACGGAGGACCACCAACCACCCCTGACCATCACCTTGATCTTGCCGTGTTTGGTTAGTGGGATGCAACCACACATCAACGGTGACAGACCAACTCAGAAAAATATCTATCAAACAGTATTCCATAAGGACCACTCATGGCCCTGTTATTTTTAACATATGGAAAAAAACAAAATGAAAACATAATCATATCAGGTTTACAAGACTTCCCAAGAGAGATGGTCACACATGCTTTCAGGAGATCTCTGTAGAAATGATGTTGATGACTTGATATCTTGAAAAGAGCTCTTCTTGGACTAGAATGACATCCATAAGTGACAAGAATGAGACGTAGTGTTCAGTCACATTAAAAAATAATCATCCCACATAGAGGAAGCTTTGGACGTAGGGACGTCACACTGGTCTTAAGTGTAATGAAAAGCCTCTTCTGCCACAAACATCAGTGTAGTGGTATCTGCCAGTAAGAAAAACTAAATAGCATAACCATGGGATGCAGCAAGAAGAATATTGAGCCAGGAAAGAAAACATTTTGGAGAAATGAATTACTCATTGACTTTCTTGTGGATACAGAAAAAAACTGCAGAAGACTCAGAGGATATGATGGCAGTGTAATAGGCTGTTATCTTAAACTTGTGGAAAAGCCTTCAATTCTGTTTTAACATAAGGGAAGGAGAGGTGACTGACTTCATGACTAGCATTAAGAAAGTATCACGTGTTGGGAAACTGTTTCTGCCTTGATGATTTTATACACAAAAGAGATGAAAAATGAGGCACATGCTTAGATGTATTGGGAGTGAGATGGGACTGTGGCATTGTCACCAGGGTACACAAATACTGAGAGTGACCAATAGAGGAACAGTCCCCATCTGTTGTGACCTCAGGTGAGACCAGGAGGCCTGTGTTTTAGCAAACCCTGGGCAATGGAATGAAGGGCTCCTAAGATTCCACGACATGCCCAGCTTCTAATTCTGTTACTGCAACAGCAGACCGTTACCTGGGACACTGGCCACTATCTCCCACACTCTCGTCAGAGCCTGAGCTACAGGCAGCGCCTTCAGTTCTCAGCTCAAGCATTGCGAACCTTGTTTTTGCGGTTAAGGACCTTAAAGTGCTGTGAGGAGGGATCAGGTTTTTCTCAACAGTAAGTTAAGAATTTGAGTTATTGACATCCCCCAGTCCTGATAAAACCTATTTGATTTCCAGTTTTTAACCCATGATGTATTTGGGTTTCTTCCCCCCAGTCCCTGGCTCTGCCTGTGGTGCCCCAAACATCAGCATGGTGGCACCTGGCAGGACTTGTTCCATGAAAACCATAGAGGTGAACTTTGCAGAAACCATCGAGAATTCTTGCTCCCAGCAGGAGGAGACCAAACCGAATTTCAGAGACAGCAAATATAGACTTCTTATGAGTCAAGTGGCCTATTTCCTGAACTATCGGCTGACAACGTAGAGTAAGTTCTATAGGTTCACCTCCACAAACGTGATGAATGATGTCCTGTCTTGTCTCGAGAAACTAAATGCTCTCTTCATCAAAATTAATTTCATCCTTTCCATACTTGTAGAAAATAGAAATGGGTATTTTAACATTTTGTTAAAGATGGAACACAGAGGCCAAAGTCTTTAGCAAATTTTCCACATCTGCAGTAAGGTGGGTGTGGGACTGGGGTGACAATCTCAGCTGTTGATTTCTGACACAGGCACAGAAGCACCTGTTTTTCTCAGCAAGAGGCAAAATCCCTGTTTACAGGAATCCTCTCTGTACCGTATAAGATTCTGCAGACAAGTAGCATCTAGTCTGTTGGTCTGAATGTCTGAGGCTGCTGAACTTCCATTTAGTTCCAGTTTCTGCTGAGGCCCAGCAGGCAAAGCTGTGTTCTGAGGACCCTGGGGGAAACAGTGATAGCACACAGTACCTGCTGTGAGGAGCTTGAAGGGGACCCTGCTCCTAACAGAACCTGTGATATCTGTAAGTGGCACCATCAAGAGCAGGGAGTACCCTGGTACTGGTGCCTCAGCCTCCCAGTTAGCTGGGATCCCTGGTGGACACCACCATACTTGGCAAACTTTTGTACTTTTAGTAGAGGCGGGGTTTCACCACATTGGCCCAGCTGGTCTTGAACTCCTGAGGTCAAGTGATCTGCCATCCTGGGCCTCCTAATGTGCTTGGATTAAAGGCATGGACCACTGTGCCAGCTCCACAGATTGTTTTTTAAGTAAACATTGCTAGAATTCATCCCTCAGTCCAGTATCCTTTATAAATTTCTCAAACCATTCATTGACCATGATATATGATGAGATAAATCGGTATTGCAGCAAAACTTCTGGAAAGTAGGGCAATTTTTGAAGATTTTGGGGAAAAAGTTTTAACTGTTTGTGCTGACTTACGTCAGAGGATATGTGATTAAGATCTAGCAGATGAGGGAGATTTTGTCCCATGGATCTGAAAAGTAGGCTCATCTACTTCTGAGGTGACTTAATCTAGGTCCCTTTAGAAGATTCCCATCAGAATATCACATTCTTACACTGAGTTTATTTTATGTCCTTGTGCTATGACTGGACACTGATTTGGTCTTGTGTGAAGTGTGATTGGCTTAATGTGACCTGCTCTTCTGAATTTGTTTTCAGAAGATGGAAAAGATCATGAGGAGGAACAGAAATACAGAGATAGCAAAATAAAATTCTTATGAGTCAAGTGGCCTACTACCTGGGCTGCCGGCTGAAGATGGAAAGTAAGTTCCATAGGTTCACCAGCATGAAAGGGCTGAACGATGTCCTGTCTTGTCTCTGAGAAATGATACACTCTGCTCATCAAAGTTAATTTCATCCTTCCTGTACTTCTAGGAAAAGAGCAATGGGTATCTTAACATTTTGTTAAGGATGAATGAAAGAGGCCAATGTGTTTAGCAACTTCTCCACATCTGCAGTAAGGCAGATGTCAGACTAGGGTTAGTATCCCAGCTATTGATTCCTGATACAGACACAGAACCACCTGTTTTTCTCAGCGAGAGGCTAAATCATGTTTACAGGAATCCTCTCTCTGCCATATAAGATCCTACAGAAATTATAAGCAAGATAAAGGTAGAAGTATCTATGTCCTGGCTTCAAGGTGACTGAGTACCTAAGACAAGTTAACATTAAGGAGATCAAGAGTGGAGATGAGAAGAGTAAAATGGGGAAACATCTTCAAATCAATAGGCACGGCTGCCAGAGACATTGCTCAGTCCCAATTAAACCAATTTGACATCACCAGTTTCTAACCCATCATGTGTTTGGGTTTCTTCTCCCCAGTCCCTGGCTTTCTGTGTTCTGCCCCAAACGTCAGCAAGGTGGCATCTGGCAGGTCTCCTTCCAGAGAAAACCCAGAGGTGAACGTTCCAGAAGGCATTGAGAAATTCTGCTCCCAGAAGGAAGAAAACAAGCCAAATTTTGGAGTTAGCAAAAATAGACTTCCAATGAGCCAGGTGGCCTACTTCCTGAACTACTGGCTGAAGACATACAGTACGTTCTGTAGGTTCACCACCCCGAAAGTGATGAATGATGTCCCGTCTTGTTCAAGAAACTAACTGCTCTCTTCATCAAAGTTAATTTCATCCTTCCCATACTTGTAGAAAATAGAAATGGGTATTCTAATATTTTGTTAAAGATGGAAGACAGAGGCTGAAGTCTTTAGCAACTTTTCCACATCTGCAGTAAGGTGGGTGTGGGACTGGGGTTAGAATCCCAGCTATTGAT